CACTCGGTGGTGTGGTGCAGCAGTAATGAGTGATGCTATCAGCAGTCTCTGTCCACACCACCGCTCTTACAGATCCTGCTACAGGAGCAGAAACAAAAACCCTGTGTGTGCTGGCATATGTTATGTCATAGTCAGTCTGTAGGTAGATGATACCAGGACATAATCAATTAACTCTTCTTTTAACAACATTTTTATATAAATTAGTTTTTAACAGATTGTATCATGGATTAGAAATTGATTTATTGAGCAATAACACACGCATACAGATTTAAATGAACGTTTCTTATTCTCTTTTTTGGGATTTAAACAGTTAACTCCAGCGCCACTGAGCGAGGCAGCTCCAGGTGGCACCGTTTACACAGCTCCAGTCGACTGTGACCGACACAAATTTGACGCACTTTAATTTGTACACACAAACACTGTGTTTTTACAGTGATTTTACAGTGTTGTGGAAATGTGTTTTAAAAAATTTTTCAGTAACACCTTCTGTCACAGTGCCACACATTCACAGGAAGCTGCTCGACACAAACACACAGTCCAGAGCTGTCGGCCTCCAGCAGCTGCAACCTTCTGACTGAAGGACACGAAAACTTAAAATGCCTCAATGAGCTAAATAAAACGGGTTCAGCAGGTTAGTTTGAATAAAATTAGGACATTTGTGGAAAAGTTTCAAGTGCAGCAGCAGTTTGGTTTAAATTCACCCGCTGCTGCTGTTTGCCATTAATTCTCAAGCAATTAATTTAGTAATTTACCAATGAAAAAAACAAAATAGCACTTGTACTATGTTCTTAACCTCCAGAGTAAAAACTTCTGCAGGTTGTTAATTTCACTCACGGCTCTGAAAACAACATCCAATTAAGCCGAGTCCAGTCTGCCTTTTAAAAATCTATAATTGGTCAATAGCATGAATAAACCCACCACACAAGCAGAGTCAGAATTTGGTCAGCACACGGCAGGGTGCCATCAAGAGAGAGAGAAAGAATCAGATGCTTATTATATTTCAAATTTGTTATGAGTCCAAGGCCTGATCGTACAAAAAAGGAAAAATATTGTAGAGTGAGGGAGAGCGAGAGAAAAACAGAGCTGGAGCCAAGTCATGCCGTCACATGACAATAAAAGATGTGGAGATGCCCTTGAGAAACACACTTAACCTTTAGTTCTCCAACTGTAGCCGCACAATAACAGTTCAGGGCAGCTGCCATGTGAAAAAGCATGAAACTTTTGGTACTAACAATGAACAAAATAAAGGGAAAAGCAACTTTGTTCTGTAAAGTTTTTATGCTGAAATAAAAATGTTAGGAAGTTACACAAAAATACAAAGAACTATATTTAAGTTTCAATGTTTAACTCGTATTTTAATGCACTGTCATCATCAAGTTGGTTGTATAGATTAATATTATGTAGGATGAAAAGCAGGAGCTTTATGTGCTCCCACAGGGATTACAGCATTTACTCTGTGTAATGAAAGCTGTTAAACTGACATAGAAGCTGGAGCTCCAGCTCACAATGGTCTGCACACGTTGAGGAGAAACTAGTGGCTTTTGTTAGCTCGAGTTTTATTTCTCTAGGTTTCACATCTCATTTCCCCTCCTTTCTCCCTCTCTCCTTTTCTGCCTCTCCCTCCGCTGCGTCCTCCCTCTCTTCGGTTCTCAGGAATGCACTGAATGTCCTTATCTTGCCCATGCAAACACAAGGGTGAGCCAGCAGCAGAGGTTGAATTCCTCCGCAGATCCCAGGCAGACAGACCACACTGCACACTGGCATCTAGACAGCACACAGCCAGAGTGGCTCCTTAGTTACACTGTAAAAAAAAATCCCCCTGAAAAGACACTGAACTCAACTGTAGAGCATATTAACTTTAATGTCAGCACCTACATTTGACTGTTTTATAAGTTGAGTAGGTTTTAGGACTTAAAGTGGGCTCTAAATGGTTGTTGGCTAGCCAGTGCTGGATGGATGGATGGATGGTGTACCAGGATGTAACAGGATAAGTAGCAATCCACAGGTGCTCTCCCACATAAAAGACAATGTTAAAACAATTCAAACTTTACAATACTGCAAGTATAGATAATCAAATGACCCATATTATGCATTTATCTCGTCTGTCATATAGCTTTTTTGTGGGTGTAAAGGTTTTGGCCTTATAATGGGCTGGGGACTACACAGCCTCTCGTCCAATGTCCACTGGGACCCGTCACCCTATAAACATAAGCAGTACAGCTAATGGATGGAAAAGTTGTGCTAATTTAGAGAGAGATTTCTGACAAATGTCTTAAGCAGCTGACGAATCAGAGCAGGCGTTCAGAGGCAGACCAATACCTGAAAGGGTTTCGGTTGCCTAATGCTTGTTTGTGATATCTCACAACCATCAACACAGAGGTCCGTCTTCACCTAGCTCACTTTCCTCCCTCAAAGCTCATACATGCACATGCACACACCCAGACGCAGTATTTTGTGAGTGTGGCACTCATCCAGACAGCCTGCCTCTAGACACACACAGCAGCCATTGATACCTCCACACAATAACGCTCTCACAGGCAAACACATGGGCTCACAATGCTGCGGCTGCCAAACGCGCTGCTTCACGTATGCCTGTGCATAAAATCACAATGACGAGGGACGGACAAAAGACAGAACTGCTCAGTGTGGCGTCCATGTGCAGGCCACAATACACACACACACACACACACACACACACACACACACACACACACACACACCACACACCACACACACCAGACACACAAAAGTCCTAACAGATCTAAATGGATTTCCTTGCACCACAGCAGAGTACAATGCTCTTATAAAGAGGCCTGGTCAAGCTGCAGGACACACACACACACGGACACACGGACACACACACACGCACACACACACACACACACACACTCACACACACTCACACTCACTTGTTGCTTTCAAATGTCAAAATGGGTCAGATTTGTGTCCAATCAGATGCTAATGCTAATCTCATTAAAAAAATGTTTTAGCCTTGTTGCAAATAACAAAGATTGCATTAGTGTTCAATGTGGAAAAGGGTTTACCAACAACTGGGACACAGCGATAAGCCTGCTGCAGTCTACACCTGCATTTTATGCCAGCTAGCACCCATGATTGTGAACACATTTTACAAGCGTCATTATTGAATATCTATTTTTTGGTTCGTCACTTAACAAAGCAAGAAAGAAACAAAGGAAAGGTCTTTGCCTTTACTCCTGTTCAGTGATCTTTACATGAGAAACATTCACCGTCCCAACTGTATCTCTAACTGTGTAAAGGCACATAATTGTTTATTCCAGGGTTATATCATCACATCCTATTTCCTCTACCACATCTGTTGTGAGCCATGAGCCACAACAATGGCCAGTCAGGATACTGAAGCGTCTACAGTGTGTCAGAGCCACAAAAACAGACTCACAGATGGAAGATCCTCATTACATCAGTTTCCCATGTATCCGTAATGCAGCACACAAAACAACGGCTGTGTTTGTTATTTTTCTGTCACCGTTTTACTCTTTAAAGTTTCCAGCAAGTTGTAAAAGCGTTACCTGTTGTGAGATTGTTGGTTTAAGTACAAGCTGTCAACTCATCTGCCTTTTTAATCTCTGAAAACTTCATACGTCACTTCACCAAAATCTTGCCTTTAAAGAAGGCCGACACACACACACACACACACACACACACACACACACACGGTTAACAGGTTAAGCTGAAGACACTGTAGCATCTGTTTTTATGTAGCAGTGAGAGGCATCACTTTTTCTAAAGAGGTTTAGAGGAACACATCTATGATAAATGATTGTGTCGACATGGAGGCATGTTTATGCCACAGTTTACACACTAAACATAAGCACAGGCAGACACACAACTACACCTTTTCCCTAACTTGAATAGTGAATACCATCTAAGCTTCATTTTGGTCAAGTGTAAAAACAAAAAAGTAAAACAAGGCTTCATTTTTCCAAGAAAATACTTTTATTTTTGTATTTTACAATGCAGATACATTATAAAGTTTATTCCATTGACTGAATTCTCATATTTTAGATTCTGGTGAATGATTAGATTATGTTTTATTGCTTGTTATTTGTCTTCAGAATTTAAAAGTCTTCAATCAGTCTGTTTTGTTTTGTGGTGCGGTTACTGTTTGGTTGGAATTTGTTGTTTCAGGGCAAACAAGACATTTGTGGGAATCAAATAAAAATGTGATTAATGTTGAGTGAAATAAGAAAGCACAGCACATTTAAACAAGAGCAGTCAGTGGGAGATAAAATCATTGAGGTCAAAATGTGAGATGACGTTTTTGTTGTTTGCGATGCCTTCTTGTTACAGAGCAGACATTCTAACCTTTAGCCCACTCAGTCTTCAGCCCCTTCTTACCCCCGTACTCTCTCTCTGCTTCATCGGACGTTTCCTGTTTTGGATCTTCAGTTACAGCTCAGTCAGCTGAGTGTTTATCGTGGAGATGTGAATTGTCTCAGCGTTAAATGCAAACATCTTGTCTCTAGTTAACTCTTCCTGGGAAACGTACCATGGAGCCACAGTGTTGCTTTATCTGTGGTCTTTGTTGTCTGCTCAGTTCTGCTGTTGTAATAAAGATGCTGACGTAATAAAAATTTTCAAATCAAAATTTCATTCACGTCAGCCATAGATGGCGTCTTTAAACTGGCAGTGGTTCACGTGTGAGGCTGTTGTGAGTGAATAGTTTAGTTCTGGCTCAATTCCTTTCAGTAGAATCAGAGAACACTCTCTCTCCCAACCACAACTGGTTTCTGTTTCTATGTCGGTGCTTTATGTGGTTTGATGCTGCTCGTTCTTATAGTGGAAACAAGATTTGGTCAAATTATCCGACACAAACCGCTGCTCTGACACTTACCACCTTCACCGGGGGCTATTTTTAGTCTGATAGTAGCAGCTCAGGTTAACCCACCGACAAACCACCAGGTGTTTCGACTAGCGTGGATCCATTTAACCATCAAGACGTCAATTTTTTGTCTCCTCAGGTCCTCAACGCCCAGAAAGCGGGATTCAAGGCAGCCATTGTTCACAATGTAGACGCCAATGACTTGATCAGCATGGGATCCAACGATTGTAAGTAACCACCTCCTCCTCCTCTGGGCTCCAACACAGAGGCCTTTAGCATCTTTTACAGATTTCTGTTCATGCATCTCTGTGTTGACAGAGGATGAAGATTGTTTTTCTTTTTCTCTGAGCCTGAGGGAAACTGAAGCAAACATACAGTCAGGAACTCATTTAAAGTCTCCAAATGTACTTGAGGTAGGATATGATGCCCTGCAGCACTGGATCTCTCCCTGCCTATGAGTCCTTGTTGTCCCCTTTGGAACCCAGTCTTGTGACATGATTGGGTCCGGGGTTTTCCTCCACCTGAGTCTCATCAGCTATCTCCGTCCCCATTTAAGTGAGAATGTGTAGCAGGGTCATACTTTATCAGCAGGCTTCCATACACTTAGTAATGCTAGTTGGTGATAAGTTAAATCCTGTCCGTATGCGTTTAAGTGTTGGTTGGATGGTCAAACAGCATCTGAAGTGCAATCACAGGTTTCATAATCTTATTTTTAATGTTGCAAATATAAATAAAACTTTATTTATATAGGAGAATCTTGCACCAGTGAGGTTCTGATAATTGTTGCTCAAAAACGTCTAAGCTAATTATTGATTTAAAAAAGTTGCTTATTGATCTCTGTCAATGAACTTATCATCTAATATGAATCTCACGATCTTCATGTCCAAAAGAATGAAAGCTGACTTAAAATATCCAGAAAAGGTTTTTAAAAAAATCTCAAATTGTGAGACCTTTTAAATATTTTATTTGAAAGAATTCCTGCTTTATTTCGTTTTCTCTGTAGATACATTTTGAAGCCCAGTTAAAACAAGATTGTTCACTGAGTTTGGATGTTTAATTACGTGTTTTTTTGTCTCATTTCTCTTTTTAGTGGATGTTATGAAGCAGATCGTTATTCCCTCCGTGTTTGTGGGTGAAGAAACGGCCAACTCTCTGAAAGAAGACTACACGTATGACAAGGGGTGAGACTAAACCTGAATCTCATTTTTCTGGCCCTCACTATAAAACGGTCTTCTGTTCAGCTCTGCTCATCATGATTCCTTCAGTGAAACATCATGGAGGGATGTTTTTATTCAGCTGCTTCACTCCAAACTGTCTCTTCTGTCCACTCTGTGCTTCCTGGATTTGTACAGTGTGATTAAATATTCAGTCTGCAGCGTGCACTGTAATATATCAGTGCAGATTTGTCTTCTCATGTATTGTCACTGCTGCTGCTGAGGTGATAATCTGGTAATGAAATGTCTCAGCCTGCCAGAGGAGCCCAGAGAGCAATAAAATGTCATTCAAAATCCCATTTCTACACTTTTGAATCAGCTGGTGTGTGTGAGCGTGCATAGTGTCAGATACCATCCAAACAAAATTGACTGTTATTCCTGTTAGTCTTTGCTTGCACAGAGGAATGAACACCAAACATGGTATTGGTTTTGTCATTGTCAACCAATTAAGCTGTTACAGTTATAACCGGAGCAGAGATCAGCTGAAGATTTCTGTGAAAAGAAGAAGAGCCACTTATTTCATTAATTAATACTGTGAAATGTCATTTATCGACAGAGGAACCTTTGTTTGACTGTCACACTGCAGCATTTTCCACTGAACATCACCACAAGGAATATCTGAAATGTGGAAGCTCACAACAACGAGCTGTTTTGATTAAAGAAATAATTCAGCCTCTCACTGTCACTCAAACTGCTTTCAGACATGCACTGAACTCACATTTTCCTGAAATTTTCCAGAGGGACTGTGTGTGAGAACGCAAATGTCCGAGCCAGTTGCTGTGCACATTTTTCAGAACTTTTCCTGCCAGACCCCCAGAGTAAAAGGGACGGAAAATATCTGAGCGAGAATCCAGCAGGAAAATGTGTCAGAAAAATTCACAGCGAATACGTGGGTATGTTGATAAAGTTTCTAACATGAGAAGGACACAAAAGTGAAAAAAACAGAAAGAATATAAATATCTCGGGAGGAAAGAAATTAGCCATACATGTAGAAGATGCGGAAGAAGATTGCAACTTGGAAAAACAACAAGATTTGAGCTTTGGTGATAAGGTTTAAAGCCACTGTTGACGCTCTACCCAGGCACCACCCCTCTCCTTAATGTTCTGGACATTTTTCTGTTGTTCTGAACTCGTCTGATGCCGAATGCTGCTGCATTCTTCATATGTGAAAAGCAACCTTGCATCAGTGACTTTATTGTCAGTACCAAATGTTTAGTGACCTGACTGGCTCTCCTTGTTCTTCTAGGGGACATGTTGTCCTTATGCCAGACTTCAGCCTGCCACTAGAATATTACCTGATCCCCTTCCTCATCATCGTGGGAATCTGCCTCATCCTCATCGTTGTTTTCATGGTAGGTACATTGAAGACACCTGGGATGCAACTCAAACAAAAGTGGGCTCATATTAAAGGAAAATAGCCTCTATTATATTTAATTCCTCTGCACCGACAGCCATGGCCAGAGGCTTTATGAGTGTGTCCGCACATACATGTGTTCTTCCCATTCTTATAAACACACACTCACAAATATCTCAAGTATGCCTTGATGGAACTTTCTCAAAGTCAGCACAAACATTCACTTTAACTCAGCTGATCAGATTTTGGTGGTCAGAGTCATTGTGACCTCCCGTCTGTCAGATTCTCTTGCACTTGATATATCACGTCCTGACATCCGGCACAAACACAAAGAAAGATGAACTGATTAGAATTTGGTCAAAGGTCTGCAGAAACACTTTTGGCCCCAATTCAACATTGAAACTCAGAAACAAGGTTGGCTGACGCCTACAACTGTGAGGTGGTAACTGTAGATGTGTAAATTTCATGATTGCAAAGCAAAGGAAGAAAGATCTGTTTTTACAGGATTTCCTCTTGAGAACCTGGAATGTTTCTGTTTATTTGCATTAGAAAAAACATTTTGAGTGCAAACTGGTTCCTTGTCAAGTATCAGCGTCTTACAGTGTCAGGCTGAAGGCGCTCATCCAGCTTGAAAATCTCGTACTTGGCCTTATGTTACCATGTTGCTTTGGAGACAGAAATTGTTTTGTGTATGGACTTTGGCTTTGTGTGCTGGTTTTAAAAGGACGTGAAAGTGTTCTATCTTTTCTTTGCTTTGACTAGATAACCAAGTTTGTCCAGGATCGCCACAGAGCTCGGAGGAGCCGCCTGCGCAAAGATCAGCTCAAGAAACTCCCAATTCACAAGTTTAAGAAAGGTAGGGAAGCACAAACATTTCAGTTTGTAGTGTCAGGAATAGACATATTGGAGCCGTTTAGTAAATCAGAGTGAAAGTACATACCGTATACTGATGGGTTTAGAAGGTACACTTGTGTGCAAATCTTCATAATCTTGGTGAGACTGATGCCTGATGCTCGCTTCATAATGTTTTTATCTATGAATTCATCACACAACAAAACTCAGGCAGAACTTTGTGAATAAAAAGTTGAACTTCATAAAATGTTCACCCTCTCTCGCTAAAACTACAAATGAAAAATAATTTCTCTGAGGTTGATCCTTTCTTTAACCTTTGACCTCAGACTGGGATTCCTAAAAAAAGCCAGAAGGAGAGTGTCCAGGGTAAAAGCCATGAATACCACCAGTATTCCATCTGAAGCACTGATCTTCTTATTGTTTTTATTTTTTTTATTATGCAATGCAAGTGTAATCATGGAGGGAATGAGTAGAAAGGAGAATTGGGAATTGAACAGTCAATGTGTTGTAAAGCAGGAGAAAATGGAGAAAATGTCAGACGTGGAAAAAAATTGATCATATATATGTTTCTGCAGGAAGTTCTATTCTTTCGTGTTCTTGGTTTGACAGCCTTTAACTTTCAAGCCGCTGTCAGTGACACATGCATTTGTTCGCAAGTCATGTTATCTTCATTTCACCTGGTTCACTTGTCCCCTCTGCACCCCCTCCCCTACCAAGAATATAAATGTAGTTATTAAACACATGGAATTCCTCAAATAAAAACCTTCCTTCTGCCCTTGAGGTATATAAAGGTCATGGTATTTATTTGAGGAAATACAGTCATAAAGTCGCTGGAGTTCAGTTTGCAGTCGTCTGTTTTGGAAGCTGTGGAGATGCTGTTGCCACGCTGCTGTTTCTCACATGATTTTGATGATGTCATAATGACACATCACTCCTCCCTCGAGCTCTGCACCTGTGCAGCTAATCGGATTAATATGGATTTGATGTTTTTTTTTCTTTCCACAAAACCCTGTGTGGCAGATTGGAGCTCCTCACTGTCGAGACACGACACATGACTGATGGTTTGGAATGTGGTGGTGTTCATTCCAGGGGTGAATGTTAAGTGTTTTTGTCTCAAACCAGTTGAACACATGTACAGTAGATGGTGGTTGTTGGTCAGAACAGTAAGCGGGAGAAAAATAGAGAAGATAAGATTAAATAAAGTTTGTGAGATGAGAAGTAGAACAAAACTCTGCTACGTCTCTGTTTGAGTTTGACTGGAAACGTTTCAGCTCAGTTTCCCCCTCTGTCTCGGTACAAGGGTCAGTGTGGCTATAGCATTGTTTTGCAATGCAAATCCTCTCTGTGCTCAAGTGAGTTTTGTCTGTGTGGTTTTTTTTTTCTTCTGTCGGCTGTGTGTCCTCCAGCCGCTGTATTTTCAGACTAGAAAGCCCCTGACTACAATCAGCTGAGCAGAGGGAAACACCAGGCTTTATAGACGATGGGTGGTGCATGATAAGTAGCCCTCTTGCAAAGCGGCTAATTGAGGGGGTTATGAGCTGAGCCGCCCCTCCCCTCCTGGCAGTAAGAGATGCACATGCAGTGCAGCAGCTAAAAGTAGCGCGTTAGCTCAGATAGCTGTTTCTGTCGCGTCAGGCTCTGTGGTTCGTGCATGCTGGTGGTTGTGGCTGCCAGCAGCGCCCGCTCTGACTCAGGGTTTCCACCAGGCACTGCTACACTCACCCTGGACCTCTGCAGGGGGGGGGGGGTGTTCAGATGTCCAGGAAACAGCCCCCGGGGGAGCTGTCTCCGCTCCTGTCAGCTGAGTCAAAGTGTTTGGTGACACAGGAAGCGGACATCAAATCTCCAAACCTAATCACCTTTTAGACTCTGCACTCTGGAGCAATGCAAGCTCAAGGAACAGAGTGCCCTGATTTTAATGTGGGAGGGCGTAAACAAGAGACCAGACTATGCCTCTGTTGGGGAGTTACTGTTAGAGAGGGTTTACTCCAGATAAGGGTAAGACTTTTAATAGCAGCAATATTAACAGAAATAGCCTCTATAAATATTTATCAATCTAGTGTCATAGAAATCAGATTATAATGTAGAAATATTAGTGTTAACTAATAAAACATGGATTGCTATGACAAGCTATGAGCTGTAAAATAAAGAAAATGGTGCTTTTGGATCCTGCAAGGAAAGATTATAACATGTATCTGGGAAGAAGGGGATAAAAAACAGGAAACTGAAATAAGCAATCAGGAAATGGAATTATCATGACATTCCTCCACATACTGTTTCACAAACTAGTGGAATATACTTTATTTAGACTGGGGACAACTTGGGAAGATTGGGTAGGTCTGAAGACTACAAGTTTGATAACAATCCAAATCTGGAGGTCTGGAAAGTAGTGACCATAACAGACATCGGCTCCTAATCGCTGCTTGAGGCTTGACGCTACGTTAGCCACTAACATAACACACATAACACACATAACACACATAACACACTGGAGTCTCTGACTGAAATGTCTGTGGTTGAGTTGCACTGTGAGCGTTGTAGGTGTCTGACAAGT